ATGGAACGGATATTTCCGAGTACTCAAGACGAGCTAGAAACTTACGCAGTAAGATAATCACAGTCATAACAGGAAAATACACCCAATAGCACAACTCCGCCTTCAATAAGTTGACAATGTCATGATGTCTTGTTTTTACCCACATATTGAGCACGGGACAATGCATGAGATGCATATTTTACATATTTTATAATGCCGCGACACTCATCGAATCAACATACTCATGAATGACCCAATAATGTACCTACAGCGGATCTACATCTGCCAAAAGGTGGTCTTCACGGGCCTTTCACGACGCTTGACGCTTGACCCAAGTACGCGCCAGCCACCGACCGCGTTGTCGCAAGGCGCAACAAACTCCTCCAAGACAAAATATCAAGGATATGCGCGTGCTTTTTTGCGAATTCACAGTGAAACTTTAATTAAATTACAAACAGTTATAAAGCTAGCTGGAACACAACATTGACGAAACGTCACACAACAAAATTGTCACGTGCATCACAGGCCAAAATAGACAACAGGGAGTAAGCCGAACGAATCCAACGATCGGAGAGGTGTGCTAACTGTAGGAAAGGATGTCTGCTAGATACGCCGACGGACAAATGAATACAGGATATCGGCGCCTACAGGTGGCCTAATTTCGTGTGAACAGCAATGCTTTAACGAATTTCTGCTGGATCTTGTTCCTCTGCAGGCGTGCGTTGTGCACCTTTGCTTGGTGATGAACACACACCCGTCGGAGGGAGGCCACCAGCATCCTGATCAACTCGGTGTGGTGGTTTTGCAAACCGTGCTGAGTTTCCAGGAGGTGGCGGCCGAGAGCTCATACGTCACCGGTACCGATGCGACACACCATTGCACTCTCCAGCATCCACCAGGACACTGCATGGTAAGCCGCGTCCAGCTGCACAATGTAGCGGCAGAGCTCCTCCTCAGCACTCAGGACAACCTCTTGACAATTCCTGTGGAGGGATTTATCAGCCCACCGATATGTCACAGCCACAGACGGTGTCATAATGTGGAATGTGGGCTCGTCCGACGCCCGACGGCCCGCCAGCGCTTCTTGGCAGGTCGAGCATCCGGCTCTGTCCAGTGCCCTTCGGACGACGAGTACGGTGATATGGCGAGCGGCGTTGATGACCACAAAGGACTGCCGCAGTCGGTAGTCATGATCGCCCAGTATATGGAGTGCCTCTGTGCTGTCGGTGCCGTACGTACCATCGGCACCCCGCTAACTGGGACTGGTCCACAGCTAGGATGGGTTGGGATCCAGCCCAGCGATCTTCCTGCTGCGTCTATGCGCGTGCCTGAATGTACCGTTCAACTGGCTAACGTTCGGGCGGTTGTTCCATCCATCCGAGAAATCATGAATGAATGGTAACGGAAGGGGGCAAAGTTGGGGATTATTTTCTGGGCATTAAGACAGTGTGACACTTGTACACAGAAGTGAAAAAAGATGACATGAATGTCCTGTTCTGAAACAGGTGGAAACAGTCTGCAAAACAAGGAGCACAACTTTATTTTATTTACATTATTTCACCGTCACAGTTCCACCTTATTCCACAGTCAATGGTCTTCTAGTGGGTGGTTCATCAAGACCACTGCCGGTAGCTAACGATGGAACAATGAAACACATCACTACACATGAATGTCGAAAGGTCATAGATCACCATCTGAAGTCGCTATGCACCGGCACACCAAGGTCATATTTGTGACGTAACTTTAGAGTTCTTCCGCTGTGTTTTTCACAGCCAGGTTTCTGGCTGAAAGTAAGGGAAAATGACATGGAACAGCAGAATGACAGCCTTACCGCATTTATGGTAAATATTTACTCATCTGACATGCATCAATGTCTAGAGAAATAATTCACAACCTGTTTGACTGGATTATCTCCCATGTGGTTTGGGCATGAATCCAGAATGGAAAAGGCTACATCAATGCATTGAAAAAGACATTTCATGCCTGACAGCAGCTGTATTTACAAGCATAAATCCACAATTGAAACGTACATGTTCAAATGATTGCAGACGACCAAATGTTCAGGTGATGGAAAGACATTTGTTACCTGAAAATTTTTGTTGCACGTTTCAAGTTACAATTAAAACGGATAGGAATACAGCAATACGCAGGCACTTCCAAAATGCCAAATGTGGCAAGAAGAGAGGCTGTTCTCATAGCTTTAGCTCTGAACAGACAAAAAATTAAGATGATCCACAACTGTTTACTGGGATGACACAGGCTTGTGCTAACAATTCATAAGAGTGAGCTGCCTCATGTAAAAACTGATTTCACCTTCCCAAGTGGTGGAAGGTAGCAATGTGGGTAACAATTTCATATTAGCTAGGCCTCATTTATGCCACCTGGATCAGATTCTGATTCCAGGAATAATCGGTACTCAGTGGACTAGATTTTGCTTGGCGATGACAGTTCTCTTCTGCCACAGTCATGTCAATATGTACACATTCAGTCTTTAAGTTATGCCCATGTAGTCATGCTTGATGCTTAGAAATAAAAATACATCACAACAAAATATTTACACACGTAAGCAATAACCAGAAACTATTGGCAGACACATATGGCCAAAATTTTGGCGCACTAACTACAATTTGCCCGCAGAATGCAGTGCTGCTATTGTAATTTTAGCACGGTGACGAACACCGTCCGTACATTGAAAATAAAAACGGAAACTAACACCAAAATTTAGACACAACATTTGATGAACTATTTGTTACAAACGTAGTAGCAGGTGATTAAGATTAGACGTGACTTGCCTTCCAGGAACCAGGTAGGAAGGTGTTAGCAAAAATACGTTATCACAATGTCTCTGATGCACCATGCTTTCAAAGATCAGGATCGATAAAAATGGCCATATGACAGCGAGGCCTTTCATCACGGGAGGGCTAGGCTACCATATCGAATATGGTGGCTTGGCAGATATTCGTTCCAAGATATCATATTCTCCATACACAGAAATACAGTACGTTATGTTAAAATTATTGCAGTTAGTTGCATAGCCTGGTCGTAGAGCAAAGGGCACAAACGCACTTTGAGCATACATTTGCATAATTTATTATACTTGAGCAAGGGAATAATCGAGATCATTATCATTGCCATACTTTTGTTGCAATCTGGCAACCATTTATTTTCCAATGTCAACAGGGCTGCTGTGCTTTTCCAATGCCCTCCTCCCCGATCAGTGCCTTTCACAGCTTTTCAGGATTCATTGCACATACTTAACAGCATAAAATACCAAATAACTTGGCTTATCACTAGTCGTGGGAATCGTGACTGGCCACAGCACCTTGTGACGAACGTGATCAATTTGCCACGCAGCGCTTTAAAGCGTCGTGCCACTTCAGGCAGACGTGCTCCAGTGCCCGCCACGCGGTAGTGCGTTGGGTTCAGCGCGCGGTTATCAGCTGCTGTTGGTTGTGTTCATGTCGTGAGGAGCTGACAGGCTAAGAGAGCGCAACTTATCATGTTTTTTTAATGTAATGGCGTTAAAAAGTCCTGCCGATCTAGAAGAATTGTCGTTTATGGATACCTGAGCTGTAGCTTCAGAGGCCGGCGGAGTACTCTGAAGCTTTGACGTAAGAAGAGAGGCTTTGAGTTAAGAGGCCGAGCATGGCTGGTGTAGGCCTGTCACATCGCCCGTTGCGCCCCAAACTTAGCCTACTGCTCGGTGGGCAGGCGTGAGATAAAACGCCTTTAATTCTTATTATAATGCATATAAAACCAAATTAAGGTGCTAGAGGTGTTCAAAAACATCGTTGGCATCTGCTGATATGAATATTGTGTGGGTTTTGCTCTTAATAATTGGGATCATGTTAGGAAGTGTGAGTTCTGCACCGGTAATGATTATGCAGATAGTGAAGGTCACCAACGCCTCCAGCTGATTGTACGATGACGTCGCAAAACCAAAAGTAACATTGTCAAGTGCTTGTAGAACCATGCTATCGGTAGATGTAGGGCTACGGAGATACAGTTTTGCAAATCACCTAGGGCAAAGGATGGAAATGGGGGGGGGGGGGGAGGATGCAGGAAGAAAAAATGGCTAACCCTGCCTTTGTAATGCACTTAAAAAATTTTCTCCTCACATTTGACGCACTTTCTTTTCACAGATGGGAGCAAGTGTACAGTTTCTCATATTTAGTTTGGGGGCGGGGACTGAACACTTAAAATTGTAATTAATGGAAACTAACGGTTAAAAGGATATTTCTAAAAAAACAAACTACATACCTGGTTACGAGACACCATCCCCTTACCCCTACCTGAGTGGGAAGCTACACGCCTCTGGGCTGGTTGTGTTAAGTATGCCCTCATCCCATACTTTTATTGGTTTAGTCTCAACCAGCATTCGGTGTTTGAGGCCAGCGAATCATACTTCAATGCAAATGAGCGCCCGAAACGATGGTTATGCCACGGTTGCCTGATGCCTGATGGTTATGCCACGCTGCACTAAGTTCATCTTTGCTATCGTGGTTTATCGCATGCAGAGTTATATCGCAACAGTTTCTAAAAGGTTTGGCTCCAGGTGACGAATTAAACGGTTCCAATTTTCGTTGGTGGCCGAAAAATCTTTTTTGTCGCCCCTGGTTAAAGAAGCGAGTGTTGCAAAAGAGAAATTGCTGTCTTGGTAATGCCGATTTTGCGAAGCACTGTCTCTTTTCTTCAAGCGACGGTTCTCCTTGATGCAACTTTTGACATTGCGGCAGTTGGTTTAGACCCATGCAACAAAGACCAATGTCACCTAATCCGAAATCCGGTGCCAATTATGATGTGGGCTCATTCCCCTATCCTTACCGCGCCAATTAAATCAAGCACATGCCGTCATGGCGACCCACCACTCTGCCCACATCCCGCCCCCTCATCACGCGCGCGCAGCCGTACCGGAAGTGCGTCGATTCCGCCGCCGCCGGCGCCGCGACTCGGCGTGTCGCGTCGGCACCAGATGGCGGCGGCGAGTAACGGCGCGCACACGCGCCAGTCGGCCGCCGGTGTGGTGACGGACGAGCCGACCTGGCCGCTGTCCGCGTGATGCGTGACGATGGGCGGCGCGGCGCGGGAGGACCGGCGTCCCTGGTGGCGCGCCATGTTCGCCGGCGGAGATGTTCAGGAGCCAGTCGTCGGGGAGGAGAGCTGATGGGAGCCTGAGCAGCGCGGCAGGTGAGTGTCGTGTGATGGTTGGGTTTGTGGGAGGTGACCTGAGCGAACCGGAGGGTTTGGTCGGATGGCCGCGATCATGTGGCTGTGCAGTGGTTTGTGCGCAAAATATTCTTGCTTGTACGTGTGTTTTTATGCAACACAAGTACGTGCTTTTACGCAACACGAGTGTTACTGGTTGTAAGGTGGGAGTTTCTGCCTGAGCCTCATGCCCTCAGCACATTATCTTTATCATTACATCGATCCACAAGGCCGTGTCGCTTTCAATTCATTCAACTGTTTCACTAAGCACATCTTCTACTTATTTATTGTTCGTGACGTTCACATAAACAGGGCAATGGAAGTCCCCCAAGTTTAGAGGAGCGAGTTTCATTTCCTTCCGGTCAACGTCCATAGTGCTAACTTACATTCTTGGAAAGCGGGCCAATCCCCTCGCCCTTGCATGCATATGCACTACGACTTACCGAACACTGCAGCGATGTGAATGTTGCGGCTGGCCGGCCGCGTCGTTCTCTGACCGTCTTAGGCGGACATTCAGCCTGTGTTGTGCATGCATACAAACGATATCTCATTCAGAACAAACCATCGTGCGTCTACGCACACCCGCAGTCGTTCACAGTGGCCTTCCAGTCACCCCATTACCTGGCACACACCTCCGACACGGGGTTCGCAGCTTGCAGTATGTGCAGATAATGCACCATGCCCGGCGTGTGCTGGTCGAGGTGAACCGTTATGTCCACAACGTGTCCGTTTGGATGACCTGACATGGCACATGACATGACATGACATGACATGACACGCTCCCTCACATGACACGATGACAATACGGTTTTCGATGCACATGTAGTTTTATCTGCCACTTTCACATATTGTCCGGGCAGACCACATCAGCATGGCTTCTCAGACACGAGCGATATATGTTCTCTAACCTCCGCGCGTTCTTCCGCAGCCACGAACCCATGAGTTCATCCGGCAATGGCACGCGTCCCCGCCTCCGCTCCAGCGCCATGAGGGGACTCGCCCTGCTGTGGTCGCTGTGGCCTCTGCTTGTGCGGGCTTCACGGCCGGGTGATCACCACGGCGCAGGCGCTGCCGGGTCACGGCAGTTGACCGGGGTGCCGGCGCGGGCCCCCGCGCGGTACGGCAGGGACTACGTGGGGCGGTATGCTGACAGAGCCCGGCTGCCGGCGTCACAGGGCTGGGCCACCGCCGTTGGAGCGACCCGCCAGTCCGGAGACGGGAGTGCGTCTCTGGAAGGACCGCCTTGGGGCGCTATGACCGCGGGTGCTGGACTTCCTGAGGTGCAGGGGTCGGGACCCGGCGGTCTCGGGGCTTCTCTGAAGACGATCCTGTCTGGTGATGAAACACGGACGGGTGCTACCAAGGACGCTAGCGAGCTCGGTGGCATCGTGGAAACGCGCCGCGATTCCACAACCGAGTTGCTGAGCCCTTTCTCTACACTTTCAGCACAGATGCCTGGGTCAGGCACGGGCACGGAGAAGACGTTAGTGATTGCGCCCAGTAGTGTTGCTCTGCCTCAGATCCGATCGAAGCAAGTCGAGGGGACGGCACTGGTGAGGGAAGATGTCCTCATCGCCCACAATTCTTCCACCGATAGTCAGACCATCCCCAGAGAGCAGTCAGTTACCCCCGTTGGCTCGCAGGTCGCCGCCAGAGGGCAGCGAGTTGCCTCCAGAAGATCGTCCACCTCTCCCAGCCGCCCTCAAATTCCGCTCAGCGGCATCTACCGCCTGTCGAGCAGCCCACTGGACTTCTCCGGCGCTTGGCCCGCGCTCAGAGGCCGGGCGACGTCGCTGTCCGCCCGGGGCTCGTCGAACTCAACCCAGGCACGGACTGGCGTCTACGGTTCCGTGTTTCCGCTGCTGGACAGCGTGCTGACCTTCCTCGGCTACCTGGCGTTCGCCACCTTCGCCGCCCTCCTCCTGATGAACATCATCAACAACAACAACGGCGGCGGCGGTGGCGGACGCGATGTTGGCACCACGGACAGCGCCGGCCAATGGCTGGAGGCTGCCGGGAACGCGGAGGCGTTCATCAGGTCCGGAGCTTGGCTCGCCCGAGAGATGAGGATCCTCGTGACGGACAGTGCAGAGCAAGGACGAGAAATAAACAGGACGCGCACCGAGCGAGCGGGAGAGAAGAGATCGTGAGTGTTGGTCGAGGCGCGTGAGCGGAGGCAAATGACCGCGCAACGTGCAGCCTGTGTCATTTTGTGACTATATTATTTAAGGCGTTATAATGTAGGTGAGTGGATTAAATGTACAGATACAGCCTGAGTGTACCACTTAATGTGTTATAATGTAGGTAAGTCGATTTAGTGTACGGGCGCAGCCTGAGCTATGAGTTACACTTTGACCTAGTTGAAGATGGCATTGCTAAGATCGTTCTAGAATGTGCAAACTGCGTGTTTGAAGCTTATCATCGGTTTGTAAGAAGAAATTGATTGTCTGGCTGATAGGGAATTCATTACGTCTCATTTTTTGCAAGCGGCAATACATCGTACGTTTCGAAGCACGCGGTAACGCTGTTCAGCGCTACTCATCCAGTACGGCACCAGTAACACCGACAGTATGACGACGTGGTCATGCATCCGCACCACGATTCTGTTGCGGGCGTTCGCGCCGCCTTGATCCAATCGCGGCTGGCACGAGCGCCGCGTGTCGCGATCCCCCCGCTGCTACCGCCCACCGTGCGGCTCTGGACAGGCGGTACCGTTCGTTTTGCACACAGACACGACGGCGCGGTGTCGGCCGCCGTTCCGCGCGACTGGCCGGCCGTGACTGCTCCGCACCGACTCCGCTGTGGCGGCGGATCAGTGCTGGGGCCGCGGCGACCAGCCACCGTCGGGTGGACAGCCCGGTGCTCGGTGAGCGCGGCTGATAGGGCTGAGGTATATATATATATATATATATATATATATATATATATATATATATATATGCAGTGAGTGCGAACCATGGGGAATCGTTCACGAGGCTGAGCGATTCCCCATGGTTTACATTTAAAGACAGCCATGGTCTGACTTTGACCTGCCAGATGTCCGCGACCTTACAAGGTACTTCCAATGTTTTTTGTCAAGATACCTGCTATGCAATTTTATGCAACGTTTTACGTCGTAACGCCATGTCGGTTGAAAATCATTTAGGAGAGACCTTCGAGGTCAAATTACCCCCCACCTTGCCCAAGCTCTAAACGGCCTCAAGCGACGCTAGCACACCAACATTGGTTGCATTGTCAATGTCCGACGTTTTATGCTGTGCTTATAGCCACGAGCATCTATCGATTTTACTTGCTGACGTTTACTCAGTGTCATGTGGCATCAAGAGGGTCAATTGCTCACAGCAAAATAACTTATTTTTCAAGCAGCGTCAATTGTTTTTTTTTTTTAGTATCCCCCTTAGCTCATCGCTGATAACTCTGGAATCAGCTCGGATGTTTGTATATGGTCCGTTTAAAATGTCATTGGCTTACAGCTTGATGATGACTTTCTAAATATTTTTTAAGTGTCACTTGTAACAAAAAGACGAAACAGATTATATGCGCTGTGGTCATCATTTTGTCACGTGTTGTTTTGTGTAAGGAACTGGTATGCAGCGGATAAATCAGACGGGCATCACTAATGTCAAGATTGTGAAACGACACGAAGATGTTCACTAAAGGTGCCGATGGTGCAGCGGTTAACACGCCTGCGTTGACATGCGCTCGGATGGGGGAGGGGTAATTTGACCCCCGAAGGTTTTGCCAGGATGACTTCAGGGCGGCGCGGTATAGACGTACAAAACGTTGCGTACCTATAGAAAATTGAAAAGCGAATCTTGCTGTCCATGATTAGATGAGCCTTGAAAAGTTGCTGACCTGTAGCAGGTCGAAGTTATGCCTTGGCTGTCAGCGAAGGCATTTACAGGGAATGGGTCAATCTGATGCAGCATTGGATTGTTAGATGAAACTACGCAGCGCTGATATAATTTTTTTGGCAACATACCAACTGAAATAAGAATTACAGAACACTCCACTGACCCAGAATCAAGTTTGAAGGCCAGACCTAGGTTAAATTTTTGACTCGAGAGCTTACTGTATGGATCAATTTTGGTGCTCATTTTCAGCTTATTAACGACCGCGACCGCAACAGACGTGGTCCATGGTCTTTTTAACACGCGCCGGGTGGCCGGCTAGACACCCTTCGCTCGGCTGGGGGTGGGGGAAGGGGTTCAATTTGACCCACTGCGATCTCGGGAAATAAGAAAGCTGGGTACACCAAATTTACAGGATGTGTTGACCTGTACATGAGCTCTCGTGGGTCAAATTTTCAGGTTCCTAGGTCATGACCTTTGGGTCAAAAAGGTCAAACAAAGTCAAGTTCCAGGTTGGTTTCCAAAGTGCCCTCAGAACCTAGATTACCGTTTCTAGGCAAAATGTCACCTACTCATTTAAAGTCAGTGGCCTTGTTTGACCTTTTGAAGGTCAAGGTGACCAAAATCATACACGATTGCTTTGAGTTTTGCATTTGACTAAGTGACAAAGATTACGCTAGATCAGTATGTTCCTAAAACAAAATGTTGACCTTGGTTATTTTAGATCAATGAATTATTCAGACCTCTCAGAAGTCCATGGAAGATAAACAATGCGGCTCGTGCGATCAATAAATTGGAAATGATCACCAGAAACCAGCCCACACAGCAAGCCCGAGAGAAATAGGACAGGTTGGTTTTGACCTTGGTCTGACCTTCACACCTGACCCTAGGTCAATGCTATTTTATGAATTCAATTGTTCTGTTGCCTAAGAAAGTATCTCAGAGATTTATGGCGTTGTTTAACACTCTTGTGTGATGAAATTGAAGGATTCCCTAGAAATTGCCTTCGCTGAAACCATGGCCTGACTTTGACCTGCCATAAGTCAGTGACCTTGCAAGGTAAATCTAAATTGTTGATGCCAAACGATCCGCTATTCAATTGTCTACAGCTTTGCAACATTTGGCACGGCTGCGCTGCGCCGTTCGGAAACCATTCTGGAAAAACATTCGGGGTGGGCGTCAATTTGACCCCCACCCGAGCGCTTGTTAAAGGTCGGATTACGTTACGGACCTAAAATTATCCAGGGCAATATTTGGTTTCAGGGACATACCTTTAGCGTGATCCCTGACGCTTAGGTGAATATAAAAATCGCAGCAATTTCGTATTTTTGGTCACCTTGATCCTTATGGTCAAAGGTCACCGACCTTGAATGTGCTTCATTGACCTTTTGCTAGAGTAGGTTTTCAAGCTCACAGCGGTTGCGAGAGGAGGTCTGTGGGGTCCTCTGCACACCAATCAGGAGTTTGACGCTGTTTGAACCTATTTTTCCCCAAGACCATAACTTAAGAGCCTCAAATTTTCACAAAAGTGATTTCACATACAGACCATCCCACCCAGTGAATGTGTCTTTAGCTGTCTAAAGTTACGAGATTTCAGGGGAAAGGGGTCAAACTGCCCTCCCCCTCCGGGGAAAGAGTATTCGACCGACCATCCGAGCGCATATACGTACCACTATACCACTGCACGTCTGAGAAACCGGAGGTACGGGGTTTGATTTCCCACGATACCCGCTCTCCATGCCAGGGTGAGAGGAAGGCGACGCATATGGAGTGAGCAGCTGAGAGCGTCGCTAACTTCCAATGACATCCCCGAACCGTGCACTTGAAAAACAATGGCGTCTGCATTGCTCCACAAAATCGGCAATTGTGTTAGAACCACTGATCCCGAATGTATCGATCTTACCGAACATGTCACATCTTTTCTCTAAACGTCATTCATAGGGAAGTATAATTTACCCCATGCACGGAAACACAAAAAGGCATCCATCCGAAACTGCTGACGCTTTGGAACTCAACTGATGGGTAGAGTTTACCATTCAAATAAAGTAAGTATTGCCATCTGCCAGACTGAGTTAAAGTCGCCCAAGTATGCATATTTTCATGTCAGCGAGACGTATGTGGGTCAAAAGCGCTTCTTTTCATATCATACAAAGGAATCAAACGCCAGGACCGGTGCGCTTTTGGGCACCCCGGGTTACGTCCCCAGTCAGCCCGAGGCGTTCGACCGTCACTCAGCTGGCGCTTGGTTATTTAGTGGTTCAGCCTCGCCGACGGCTGCTTTCGCCTGCCAGCGACGCTGTCCGAGACTGCAAGGAACTCGGAATAAATGTCTGCTGTGTCGGACGCCCCTATTACGTTCCTCGCCGGCAAGTGGGTGGATCGTGCTCGCCACGTTTTGACACCCGAGCGTCATGCACGTATGTAAGCAGGATTTATGAGCCTGAAAAAATAATTTGACCTGTCGGCCATCTTCCGTCACGTCGAAAACTTTCACTGCCTTGGGGATTGCAAAACTCGAAACAGCGTTGCGACACCGCCGTTCTCCGTCGACAACAGACCAGCACACGCGATACTCACTATAGGTTCATTTACAGACGCATAGATGGCACGCGGAGGTGGCCTTCCAGCATCAAGGTGGTGATGGAGGGACTACCATTATGACCCAGGCAGGCATTCTGTGCAGGCATCCAGGCATCCATGACCCGAGCCGAAGCACCTTATGCAAAATGAAAGGCCGTTGTGTAACAAGCAAGTATACAACATTTGAAAGCAGCGCGCCTTTGTGCCAAAAGACTGCTTATTCTACGTCATGCATGTTCAAGATTAGAAAAAGTGCGTTGTTAGATAAATGTTGTGGTTATACCATGGTGATAGATTATATGCAAGTACATTCCTGGCTTTGCTCGTGCCAGAGAATCGAAGTCAACAGCGAGGCTCATTGCTTGTAACAGTGCCTACACTTTACTGGTTGGGAGGAAACACACGAAACACACTACCACCAACAAAGCATCCCCTCGGCGCATGTCGGGAGAGGCGATATCAGACATGGGGGCTGCTCAGGTGCTGTCACGCAGATGATACAAACAACTAAATTACTGGACGCAAATATCAGCGGTAATGGATAGTAAGGGCTTGATGAACGTTAATTATCAAATTTCATCAATGATCAAATCAATGATCAAATCCTGAAGATATTGCAATCATTTGCTCTGCACATATGCAACGTACTTCATATTTAACCTCCTTCATGTTCCATAATCACGTTCTGATATAATTAAAATCATGCACATGTACCCAAATTCACGGCGCTGGCTCCGGACGTTCTTCCAGCAACACGCTCCGCTTAGCTGGGTGGACTCCCTGGACATCCAGCTCAAAACCCAGCACGAACACGACCAGGTAATTTCCCCCTCCGACTTTTGTGACCGTACAACCCTTACGAACACGGTGAATTGAGTGGTTGTAGCTTATTGGGCGGTTATAGCGGGCTGTCATTAGCTGACTTTAGCTTATGACTACTTTAAGCCTTCTCATGTATGATTTTTCGTTGCCTATTACATAGCACAATTCTTTCGGGTCTGCACCACCTCTTCGCCTGCCTCTTTACGTCTGTTTCCTCTTTCTAGCTGGGGGTGCCGCGACTTGATGTTATGTTTTCTG